ACACACACACACACACACACACACACACACACACACACACGAGGGTACTTCAAAAAGCTCATAGATTTGTATTATCTTTTAATTCTATTTTTCCACAAACTTTTTGAAGTACTCTGGTGTGTGTGTGTGTATTTCACACAGGTAAAATCGATAACTATTTTTCAAACTCATACAAGATCAGTAATAAATACTTACAATCTCAAACGAGGTTCAACACATCTGACAAAATAATCGTACTCATCCTCCTCTTCTTCATCCCAACTCCTCCAAGTATTTTGGTAGAAAAATCTGAAAAGGAACTTAGTATTATTCAAATTCAATCACTGGCTCAAGATGTTAGAGTTTTGGAGGGGTGAAAGCTGAAGAGTCAATCAAAACAATTCTATCAACTATAGCAAATATACAACATTCCCTAAGATATGAGAATGTTGTATATTTTCTGTAGTTGATAGTCATGAGTCAAAAAAGATGAAAGAGACCTTCTTTGGATCAGCTAGAGTTTTCCCACAACATTAGTTTTTGTTAGGACTTCCTTTTTACCAGAAGAACTACGGTAGTGCCATTTGTTGAGACAGAAACAAGTCTGGGGTTAAAAATAGAGTTGTTTTCACCTTGTTTGGTCTGAGATGCCTATTTGACCTCCAAGTGGATGATGCCAAGCATGCAGATGAATATATAAGTCCAGAGCTCAAGGAAAAAGTCAGGACTAGAGATACAAATCCGGGAGTTGTCAGCATATCAATGTTATTAAAGCAATAGATCAGATCATTTAGGGACATTGTATAAAGCAGAAGTTCTCAATTCTGGCTTCACATTAGAGTCCCCAGGACACTTTTAAAAATTGATTCCCTATCCCAGACCAATAAATTGCAATCTCTTGGAGTTGGGGTGGGGGGAATTCTGCATCCATATTTTTTAAAGCTCTACAAGTGATTTAACAAATGTTTTATTATGGAAAATTTCAAACATATACAAGAGCAGGGAATAGTATCATGAACACCATGTATCCATCACCCTGTTTCAACAATTCTTCCATCTCTACCTCACCCACTTATTCTTCTGCTCCCTCCCATCACCATCCTGACACTGGATTATTTTGAAGCAAATCTCAGACATATCATATCATTCACAAATTTTTAGGAGGTATCTCTAAAGTAAAGCTTTATACCAAAAGTTTTAATTCCTTAACATTACCAAATATCCACTGTGTGTTCAAACTTCCCTGATAGTCTCTTTTGCCACTGTTGTTTCACAGTTGACTTGTTCAAATCACGATCACACAAGGGTCAGCTATTGCACAGTCAATATGTCTCTTAAATCACTTTTGTTCTATAGATCATCCCTCCCTCTTTTTTTCTCACAATTTATTTAATAGTTTCCCACATTCTGAATTTTGTTGATTATAGACCCATGGTGTCATTTAACATGTTCTTCTGTTTCCTTTATTTCTAGTAAACTGATAGTAAGAGCTAGAGACTTGATCAGCTTCAGGAAAGATTTCTTTGGCAAGGATACTTCAAGGGAGGGGCTGGCTGATTAGCTCAGTTAGAGTATGGTGTTATAACACCAAGGTCAAGAGTTCAGATCCCCATACCAGCCAGTCAAAAAAAAAAAAAAAAAAATCTATCAATAAATGTTTGGGCACTGTACAATGAAATACCATACATAATGGTATCAAAATGGTAATAAAATATTTTTTAAAAAAGAATACTTCAAGGGAGGTATAATGTACTTCCATGAGAAGTACATAATGCCTGGCCATCTCTTTTTGTGAGGTTAAAATTGATCAATGAATTCCAGTATTGTCAGTTTGATCCACTACAAAATTCCCTATCAGTTTTTCACCTCATGGTTGTAGCAGCCATTGATAATCACTGCCTAGAACCTTTATTTCTAGTGATTATGAAATACTGATATTTTGGTTCTATCATTCCTTTTTAATGTATTAGTTGGAATACTTCTATAAAGTAATTCTAATGCACTTCCAATGTTGATTAGCGAAAGAAGAACAAAAGGCCTAGGACTGATCCCTGGGTAACTCCAACAGTCTAAAAGTTTGAGCATGAGAGGAAGAGCTGGCCAGGATGACTAAGAAAGCAAGCCAGTGAGACACCAGCTGAGCAGTGTGTTCCAGAGACTGAGAGGAGAGAGTGTTAAGAAGGTGGGAAGACCAAATACCTAGCATGTGGCAAAGAAGTCAAGCAAGATGAGATCAGAAAAGTGTCAACTGGATTCAGGAACATGGAAGTCTTTGGTGACCCTGAGCAGAGTTTCAGTGGTGAAGTATGGGCAGAGGCATCACTGGGATGCCAGGAAGTAGAGACTGTAACTGTATATAACTCTTTCAGGAAGTTCCACTGTGAAAAGGAAGAAGCAATGAAAATGAAGCCTTGTCTTAATTCTTATGGCTTAGGCCAGCAGTCTCTTCACCCTCTAGAGTCTATCTTTTTTAAAAAACATAAATGAACCTGAGCATGGCTCTACTCAAAAAA